ATGAGGCTTCAGCCCATTCACACGCACTTTTCAGAAAATGTAAACATTCACCCTGCACTCTGCGGATGTATCAATTTGTCACACGCAGTCATTGTTTCCTTTGTGCATGTGGTTGATCAGTGAAATTTCGTAGTGACCACTCACTTCCCTCCCACCCTAAAAATTTGTCGCTTAATTTCTTATACAACAGCAATCCAACAAACTTATATACTCATTTTCTTTCGGGACACGACAGCCATTTTGGTGGACCATAAGTCCTTGGCTTTTTTATCGTTTCGTTGTGGCTCTCCACGATCTGTTTGTTATATATATGAATAATGTGTTATTGATATGGCTTGCAGTGGCATATATGCTTGCGTGAAATTGAGTATAAGCTGTAAAAAAGTAAATCAATAAATATGCAATGATACGTTTGTTGAATTTCAATGTTCAAAGCATATTTTCATTAACTATGACTAAATTCGTACACGAGATAGTATGTCTAAATCGAAAAAATCGATCGCATAATGTCTGTTACGTAAGGCCACGTGCGGAGCCTAACCTTATTATTGTCGCTTTCGATCTAAGCGTAGCCTCTTGCTTATGGTTGAAATGTGTTAATTATTGCTGATTCCACCGTAAAACTACCTATAACAATAAATATGCCGAAACCAATTGGGTTTAGTACTTTGCATATTGCGTAATTATGAAATATGACTACTATAGTTCACGCAATTCACAGAACGATATAAGCGTATGGTTAATGATGGATTACATATTTCCGAGCTAGATGTGTATATAGCCTATCTTTGTCATCTTAATGAGTTTGACCAAGATTTTCGCGAACAAGAAAAACTTGTTAGCGGTAACGGCAATTTCGTAACCGATAATGGGATTTTCTGGTTTTACAAATGTGTATTGTCCTTGGTTATCAACTATGCTTACACGTGCTAATCGTTGCTGATGCTGCTAATATGAAATATTACTATTGCAAAGTTGCCATTCCATACAACGGGGGTAGGTGGGTTATTACTATCTCAATCGAATCTTGTATGTATCTTGTGCTTGTGCGTGATCTCAATATATTATAATCGTCAAGATTATATAAATGTTTCAAAACAATCCTAATGATGTCTTCCAAGTTATAGACAGCAGTCCAGTCGTCCGTGGCGGCAAGAATACTTTACGTGATAAGAGACGATAATATGCTCTGGCGTTTTATTCCATTTCCTTATGCAGATGCTTTTTTGATATAGCTCAGTTGCGTTTTCTGTTCATCTTTCTGCTCCACTACCGCTTGTCGAGAATACGTTGCTCATATGCATCTTCCTGCCAGATTGGTTTTTGGATACAACACATTATGCATCCCGCCTTATTTCTCGGTCTTCATCTTCCACTCTCATTGTTCTAGAAAGGGTGGATGAGGCCTTTCTTGGATCACAGTAAGTTTTCGTTGATGGATTGTAGTCATTTGGGATTATTTCACGGGCACGTGAAATGCCTCTTGGTTAGATGTTGTAACGTAAAGTGGCATAGTCGGCATTTGATGACAGGTTTACTTTCTCAAAGACTGCCTTTCAAAGACTAAATTGTATAATAGAAGAGCTTGAGTAACAGTACTTACTGCAAGTGTAAAATCGTTTGCAACACATGGACATTAGTTACCTTCCAAAAAAATTGAATTTCTCCTTTCAAGGGGTGACAGTCTAGTCTGTAGATAACGCAAATTCCGTTTACGTTGTATCAACTGACACCTACGCCTCGCGAAATATGTTTTCATTTGATCGAAGTTACATTCTCGGGGCCTAATCATTTCATACAAAAAAAAAAGGTGAAGTGTATTAGGTTATTGCATAAAACCATACTGCAACTGAAATCAAATATAAACGTACATTCGATCGAAATAGTATTATGCCTAGATCCACCATCAACGGTATTTTCGTAGACAATGTCTTTTCTCACGGGGGTGCTGGAGGTATCAGCCAACCTCTCGTCTAGCGGATCAGCCGGAATCCTGGTATCCTAAGTATTGCGAGGTGGGAACCATCTTCGAAGCTGTTGTCATCAGGCTGTCATCTGGAACTACGGGGTACAACACCATATTCATCTTCAAGCATTCCACGAGCCCTCATTTTTGTCATGAGACTAACTGCTGTTTCTTGACCTCTTCCCGAATCGACTTTGGCTCGTCGGTCAGACGGACCTTGGCATTGTAGTCATCATCTGGGCGATCATGATTGAGGAGGTGGAAAATGACGGACTGACGATTTGAAAGAAACCGGTGGTCACGTAGAGGGAATTTTACTGCTCCGCGGTCTTGACGGATTTCCTAAACTTTGCGTTTTCCAGTGGACGAATGTCTGATCTGGCGGCTGCTATTAAGAGAAAAAGGTCTCCTCCCCCTGCCTGATCACGTCTCTGAAAATATTCGCGCTGCTTACGTGGAACGAAAGCAATCATGAACCAAACACTCGCCTCAAGATAATGTACGAGGGCGGAGCTAGATGTTTTTTAAATTGCCTTATATGTTATGATTATGTATTATTATACACGATAACAGCAAATGTAATATATTACCGCAATCATTTCCTTAACTTCTTCGGTATCACATTTCTTGCCACCAGTCATTTGAATTATCTGAAAAGGACAAATAATATATTAAATGACTTGGGTTAATCTAATCGTTGAGCAAATATGGACAGAGTATTACATGCCATAAAGCCGGAGCTTGCAAATGTTAGCAAACCTATTGTTGTCTACAAATCTCAACTACAACAATGATCACCCTTACTACTCATCCAAAATCACGTCACCCTTTACGGATAAATCTTTGCAGATTTCCTTCTACAGACTGCTGGTGGACTAGTAAATCCCCTATTTCCGAGTCCAAGGGCAGCTAAGGCTACTTCGGCTTCATCAGAGGTTTTTTGAAAGAGTGACTTAACAGACAAGTGACATAATTAATGGGGAGAAAGCATTCGCATAGATCAGCCTCCTAATTACCTTTGCAATGAATTTGCCTCGTTTACATTACGGATCAAGTATTAGTGAAACCGGTATTATGACGTTGCACAGTGTGAGCATATTCACTTTAAAGTACCAGAATCAGAAACATATAAATAAACTTTGTTTAGACAAGGTCAATTATTGACACAAGTCACATTTCAAACCGACCTGCTTTCGACTAATGAAAATGATTTCAACATGAAATTCTTCCGATGGCCTGTTAACACGAAGAGTAATAAACAATTAAGTCACAGATATTTATGCGTGACTCTTTCTCGCTTCAGCTTAAATCTTTCGGCTGTTTTCGTCATTCCATTCTATTTTGTTGTATATCTTAAAAAATGACGTGACTCCAGTCACGGTTGAAAAAGCTTAATTCCCCAAAATTTAACTTTCTGAAAGTGGTCACGTTACTTTTACTTGGCGCAGTTGTGCAAACTAATCCCGACCACCGTGGAATTTCTCTTTACATTAAAAGTGATGAAATAAGTAACATAGTAAGAGTAAAGCAACAACATATTTTGACTTATTTAACTATTAAGGACTATAATGAGATAAGAAATAATATATGTAACTATATTACTATGTTATTAAAAACGGGTAGAATAACCTGCCTGGTTATGCAAAATAGTAGAAACCACATAACGATAAATAAACACTTTTTTTCTAAAATAGCTTTAATTCACTCCGTTAACATGTCCAGTAAATCTCTCAGCTTTTGTTTGGTAACCCAAAGTTTGTGTTGCCAATATATATTAGTAGTTGATGCCTATTGCTTGTCATATTAATATGGATTGCCGTTATAAAGATATGACTGAGTAATTTATTGTCGTAGTCACGTCGAAGCTTTCTCTCCAAAATTCTAAATTTTATTTAGGCTTTTAAAATATATCGTAAGTATCTGAAACAACGTATTTGTCATAATGGCCGACAAGAACTTTGTTTACAAAAGAGTCTAAGATAGTAAGACAGAGTACACGAAGCAACATATATACGTTTCCATGTACAGTTGAACATCCACAAGAGAACGCAGTCGGAACAGCTCATGTTATGTTCTAATCCATAAGAGTGTTTTTTATAAAGTTTATTCCATTTACTAATAAGTCAGATTGTCCCATGATAAAATGTTTGTTATGAGATGTTATTTTTTATAGAGCAATCGTATTACACAGTGAGCCCGTTCGTCCGTTTTCAGATTTAATGCGGCCTTTGGTTTAATTTCACGATATTAAAATATTTGAGACAAAATTCAATAGAGTTTATTGTACTGTGTATTGTTATCATATCAATTATAATCTTATTCAAAAAAAATTAAAGATGAATCTTAGACTTATTTTTAAAAAATCATATACTTAAAAGGTTGTGCATATAAAGAATCGAGATTTCGTGTTACTAATTAATGCGACTAAGACATTCTCGTTATTATTCGGACGATTAAGGTATATTATGCGATATCGAATGAGCCAATAACCGCTGCGAATCGAAGGCGGTCACATTTCTGCAAATTAAATAAATTGACGGTTGAGAATAAAGACAAGATATATGAACAAAAAATGTTGTAGACTCCAAAAACGATGCAAGCATCAAAGAGCACGCAGACTTTACCTAGTACGAATCGATATTTATTTTCGGGTTCGGCCACCGCTTTCATGTATCGGTTAGCGATTTTTTCAAGAAGATAATAATATCCCCTGACGGCTTCGCCTTCCTGCCTCCACAGAGCTGCAGCGCGGCTGTCAACTTCCGCAGAATCCCCCCTCTTACGGTTTTTAAGGCCAGCCGCATAGTTTCTTCTATAAAATAAAGTTCGCTTAACCGGTCGGGGGGTTTTGTTACCTTTGACCTTAGGTAACCTTAAGAGCTTGTCGACCGGCATCGACAACGTGTGCGGTGGGTTGGCGAGGCGTTGGCGTTCAGCCTCGCTAAGGTGGTTATCGATAAATGATCGTATTGTCATGGTGCCAGCCATTACGTAAATTCGATGTGTCGTTTAATCGATTTAAATATATATTATAGAGGAAGGAAAAGTTTGGACTTGGCACCGACGTTATCTTGGTTATAAGAAAGCTAATAAAAGCTTGTTGTGTTTATATAACATATAATCGTGAATAACGTGATTTATTTATTGCTGTCACACCGATTTACATTCATAATGAGCTCTCGATCAGCATTGTATATGACTCGTTACACCTACAGATTTTTTGTGCGACAACGATAATTAATAATGGGATGCTCATAAGGTTTGTAAATGTCCCAGCTTTTTGGTTAGACAAACGGCTGTTGTACGTCAGCGGCGCATTCATTTCGAATCCCTGAAATTTGGTTTGTTTCAGATTTTGATATCATTAGCACGAAGGAAGAGACTGCAACCATTACCGCCGCAGAAATGATTTTTAGGATTTATCACGCAGACTGTTTATGAACAGGTTTTCATATTTCTCTTCATCTGTGATAATAATAATAAACTTGTATTACAATTTGTGTGACGGTGATGCAGGTCGATTGTTGATGAATATGCCTCTAAACTAATACGGCAAGATTTGACATCCGATCTTTTACCTACGCAATTGCATTTGAAGGTCGTATACGGACTGCATTATCCATGGTAATTGGATCCATTGCTGTATCATTAGGTAGCGTACTCACAGAAATAATCCCAAAATTGACGACAAGAACCCTTTCACGACACGCAAGAGACTGACGCTGATTTGCCATAAGAGAAAATATGCTATTTGCTGAATCCCCGCTGGCACGACCAACTTCTGGCAGTTGATAATGATGTCACTGGTCAGGTTAACAACACTGCTCAATGGGTTCTCTTCAGGCCCAAGCATCCGCATAGCCTCATACACTTTGCCATAATATCGTCCAGGTGTCGAATGCAGCGTACAGTCTGAAAATTGAATGCATCCGTTAATGCAACAGCATTAGCTTTGATCAGATTATTGGAAGCAATGCCAAGATTTGATCGTTGACCGACTTGGAGATAACTATTCAAAATGAAAGACAATTAGTCAATTCTTTCCGTATCGTGTGGAAGGCAAACAGATTATCATACAAATAGCGTTCTGGTCTCTTCTTTGAAAAGATTCTCATCTTGATCTCGATAAGATTACATACTACACAATGCGGTTAGAAATAGCTGCATTGTCAGCCAATTTGAATTTCAATCCTTACGAGCCCTCTGGTGTCTTCGTGCGGGGCAAATACAATCTTGATTGTGACAGTTGGCTGACATGAGCTTAGTGGAACTGGTAGCACGGTAGAAGGATAATCAATAAAAATCTAGATCGGAAAGTAATACTACCGAGTATGTACCGAATTCGAACACCCACGTAAGATCTTCAACGCCCACCGTAGTAGTTAATGCCACGATAGTAGGCATGCAAGACGTCGCCGTTCGGTGTACGTGGCGTTTTATGTTCCTTTGTCCAATTTTCTGTAGAATTCCATGCCCACGATACATATAGTGACGTTATTATACGTTCAATTTTTTGTACAATTTGTGTGGCATCCGTCCTTATGCGCAAACATGTCCACAATTCGTGTAGTACGAACATTAAGACTATATTTTCCGGAAGATGAAAACTTTCAGAGGTGTATTTGTTTACGATTCACACATTCTAAATACAAACTACAGTAAAATAAGACCTTCATACCATTTGAATACATTGGTATGCGCTATATGAACGGAACGCGGAAATAATTGTATTCTGCACCATAAAAAGAATAAGATTTATTAATTGTGCAGCTACCAATGAATGTTCGCTGCAAATGATTTTATGGCGCAAATATAAGCAATATGATTGAGTTATTAGTATGATATATACATTATAAGCAATTTTAATACACTTTTTAAGAATTAAGATTGTTTTTTATTTCGAATATGTTATTAGCGTAAATATGAGTAATATGAGTAAGTTTATTAGTATGGTTATAGAATAAATATTCTTTTTTTTACATTATAAGCAATTTCAATTACTGTTTGGGAAATTGACTTAACATCCGCCGAAAAGACACCGAACAATAAACCAAAGACAACTCTTTATGTTGAATTTGTTCTTCTTTGATACCGTCTTACGTGTTATCTCCATGGCTCGCAAAATGGTTTACATGGCCATGATTTTTGCAAAGAATCACGTAACAATGTCCTTCGGTTGATTGTTATATGCTATTACTATATATTGTTCCCAAAAGCTTCATAATTTCTGTATACGATCATAGCTGCCCTTGCGTCTTTGGCCTGATTGTGTAAATCAATCAAATTACATTCTGCTTCTCAAAAAAGAGTTTAGGATTAGAATCTTTTACTTACCGAATCATGCGTGTCATTTTGGATTGCCAATCCAATGACCTAAGGAATACGGCATAGCAATAATTTGTTCATCACATGAAGCGTACTATTAATTGATTCATGACTACCTTAAAGTCGCAATTGAGTGCGTGGCCCACGACGAATTTAAGCCGTAACAGCTGGCGCACTTCCTTAATAACATCGCATCGTTAAAAGTTCGTGCTGTACAAGTATTTAAAACGAATGCGTAAATTTGGATTAGTATACAAAGCATAGAAATGAGAGTTTATATAATAGTAATTGTACCATTTTCTTTAGCAATACCGCTAATGGCGGTCTTGTAATCGGTCATGCAATTTTCCGGTTTTACAAACGAATATCGAACATGACTTCCCCCCGTAATTGACTACGCTTACACGTGCCAATTCGTTACCAACTTGCTCGCCCCGAGTCAATACCATCTCACAGTGCATAATAATGTGTTTCATAGTTTTTGTGGTTGCTAATCAGTCAATTGACAAGTTGTTCAGTTGATACAGCCCAACATGTTATCACCGCCATTATTTTTATAAGAAAAATGGTTTCCTCGATGGCGACAAAGTTGTTCTATGTATAAAATAAAATGAGTAATCAATATTATTAATAGATTATGGGAGGCATTAGTATTACTGTTTTAAACCTGAGTGTTTTTCTTTTGTTTGGGTAATTAAACCAGTCAAAAGTTGTTCGAAACGACGGAAGTTGTCTATGTAATCGTTTGACATGCTGGATTGAATGCGAGAACCATTATCAACAATGATGGGTATAAAATTATATAAAGCACTTACACACTGTCTCCCGCGTTTGTCGTGTTGTTATTTTTTGGTGTATGAGAATAATGTGAGTAAAGTCTTGTAAAAGAACATATATATTAACATTATGATGCATTACTATGATTATAAAAAAAATTCGTGGTAAAATTTGTGTAAGGAAGAAGTTTTCGTTTGTTAATCCAATCTCGATAAACACCTAAATGAGAGAGCAAGCCTTGTTGCTCTTATATATATGTCGATTCAATACTAAATTACTATTGAAAATGTAATGCATTGATATTTATACTAGTACACTATATATTTGTCATTGCTGTGAGAAAGACTCTACAAACGTTTACTTGTAATGTAACAGATCCGGTCGGGCTAAACATTTACCGAGCTTGAGCGCCAGAAGGTATACAGTTGCCTGCATCGAGCAAATAAATTCGATGCGCATTCGAGTCTTGAAATTTGAGGTATATTTTCAACAGGACGCGCTTAATGATATGTGGATCCTAATTTCCAGCCATTGCTACAAAAAAACGAAGATTGACTGCGAGCATAAGTGTGAAAACTCACACGTAGACGACTGTGCCGTCGCATCCATAAGGAGTTGAAGGCATGCTGTCTTGTTAACCAGATCGAACTTGCGCTGTGATATCATAAAATCTTTGTTTTTGTAGTACGGGAAGCAAATTGTGAAACTCACTAGTGATGATACATTTGCTATTTGGTTCGGCGATATATCTGGGAGTAAGTCTGGTTGTGGGGTTGTGAAGAAGTTCTGTCGCAGACAGGCATAATGTTAAGCCCAGCCTAATAACAATACGCTTACAATTCATTTAGACTCTATGTTTTGAGGCTAAATTCCTATATCCCTAGATATCTCCGGGCCTAGCATGCTTTTTCGTCTTCGATACAGATGTATTGGTAGGCTTTATTATATAGTCAAAGCTCGGAAAGCCGATAGCAGTGTTTTCGCCTTTTCTATCGGTCTTCCGAAATATCGGTTTTGAGAGATTATTACAATTGATTGGTAGACAGTAAATTAAGAAATTGTGAATGTAATAACTTTATTATGTGCCATCATTGATAAAATTATCAATTTGTGATTGACTTAATGAAAGCGCGAAATTTCTGATTTCAATGAACGCAGAACTGATATTGCCTTCTTATTGAAGACGAAGCCACTGGGCGAATCATTGACAAATCGTATTAGGTTGTCCCCACTTGCTAAAGTTGTTTTTAATGAAATTATAGGCTGTGGTTCATATTTCTTGTCACTTTCTTCTTCATCATCTTTTTTTCTTCGTCTTCTTCGACGCTCTGTACGGTTGCAATAATATCATTATCGGTAAAACGTTTAATAGATAATTGCTCATAAATACAAATATAAAATATAATCAGTAGCCAACAACGGCTCATCCATCCCTAGCTGAGTAATATGCTGTATGTCTTATCTGTACACTATGGGAAACAAGGCGTATCGGTATCTACAAGGTTAACATAAATCAATAACATTAAATGATACCTGATGATGTGTAACAGAGAAAGCTTTGCTATTGGTTATAGAGCTTAAATTCTTATATAAACGTGACAAAATAATATCAATTATCGGTATTGCGCGATGTTATATAAAATATCGGTTTTCCGAACAACTTTTGTTATACGTGTTTTGGAAATTAGAAAATTATCAGTTTTAGCATTTATCGGGTTTCCGAGCTTTGACTGCATTGGGCGAAAGACCACGGTTTATAATGTTATTACAAAGGTGCAGTTTTTGTTGAGAATTCAAAGGGTTGAAAGCCACACAAACCATAATGACAACTGCATTGCTACTAGATACATTACACTCTGTTTATTGATAAAAGTTATTTATAAAATGTTAAAGAAAATCAAAATAAATAAATATGTATGTAAACGCCTGTTTTAATTTCTACATATTAATGTTTGTATAATTCATAAAACTTGACGTGCCAACTTCTGGCGTATTTGTATAATTATAATTACTATCTATATTGTGGTCATAATTATTTGTAAAAACATAATAATAATTGTTTATAATAACATAATTATTATTTATACCATACTCGTAATTGTTCATAACAGCATAATTGTTATTATTTGTGTCATACTCGTAATTGTTCATAAAACCATAATTTGTTTCCATATTGTAGTT